GTGTTTTAGGGTCAGAGTGATGGTGGGTCGTTACCACTACGACGCTAAGATGGAGAGGGGAGAGAGGGAGGTTTTCCTTATCGATCTGCCCCGTTATTTGTTTCCGTCCCGGGCTGGTTGGGCTTTGGCACCACAGACCTCCTGGCTGGTGCGAAGCCGCGTTGCTCTCAGCTGGGTGATGGCACGCCGTACCCGAAAACCCGGTGGGACTGCCTACCCCATCCTCTTCAGCACCTCGTGCCCGTGAGAGCTGTGGGTCAATGCGAAATGGAGGCTGTTATTGAATCCAAAATGAATAATTCATTTGGTGCGATAGCCCACGCTCCGTTCAGGTTGATATTAAATCCATTCGTCTTGCTCTGCCCCGTCCCTCAGCATTGCTTTATGGCTTCCTTCGGTGGTCGTGGTGCAATGCATCATCGTGCTGGGGAGGAGGTGGGAGGAAAAGCAGGAGCGGGGATCGCTGGGAGGCCAGGGAAATCATTGGAGACCCTTAGATGAGCATGCTGGGTGGATTTTGCTTGCTCTCCTCGAGGAAAATTTTTAAACCCTTTCTCCGCTGGTCTTTGACTCTGAAGCCTAATGATGGCAAGGTAAGGTAACCCCTCACTAGAATGATAGCTGTTGTGGGGGGGGTGTCTCAGCTTTTATCCCCTGTGAGGATGGGGCAACTGACTTTGTCTGCTGGAATCATGCTGACTTTCTCACGGACCTTCTCAGTACCAGGCGATACCTTAGTTGCGTGGAGAAGCCAGCAAAGGAAAAAGCCTGGAGCTAAATCAGCCTCATGCTGAATTTTTACTTTGTATTTATAAAGCCAGGGAGAAGGGGCGAGAGAGTGGTCCTGCTGCTTCCCGGGCTTGTCGCTCTCTTGTTTTTCCCCCCCCGGCAAAGTCCTGTCCTAGCATGGTCGGGAGCATCCAAGCTGCTGAGAACGAACGACCTGCTTGCTCGCAGCGGCTGGCGATCTGAGCTGGCAGGGGGGGCAAAATTAAAAGAAAAACCCCACAGAATAAGAACAAAGTTGCCCCTGGTTCCCCAGCCCTTCTTCAGCTGCTGACTGATGCACCGGGCTGTGCCGAGCCTTTCCCAGCGCCGTGCGTGGGTTTACTTCGGTCATCTTCATCCCTTTGGTTTCTTTGTCTCCTTTCTCTGTCCTTCCCTCCTGCCTGGTGCGTGGAGGGCTGGATGTGGAAAAGGGGGGGGGGCATGCACGTCCCCGGCGTTGAATG